CTTTGCAGGCCTGGCAGCCAGAGGGACGAGACCCGGGTGGACGCCGTGTGCACCTACAGGAAGGAGCCCTCGGCTGCAGCCTTGGACAGGGTGGGCCTGTACCACCAAGTGAGCAACAAGACCAGAGGCATCAGCCAGCTGGGCCCCTACAGCTTGGACAAGGACAGCCTCTACGTCAACGGTGACCCATGCTGCTCTCTCTGCCCCCTCTGCTCTCCCCCACCAGCCCTCCCCCAGTGCTGCCCCTTGCCCAGCTGCAGCTCCTGACCCTCTGTCTGTCTCTCTTTTCCCAGGCTACAACGAACAGCCAGTCCTGCCCAGTGAGTATCTTGCACGAGTGGGTTGGGTGCAACAGGCAGAAACTGCCTTGTGGGGATCTTCTTTTAGGCAGAGAAGTCTGGGGGCTGGGGCTTCAGATCCTGGGGAGAGGCTGGGAGCATGAAAGCCTTTTGAATGGAGAGCACGGCTGGCAGGAGACCTCTGTACTTTTCCAGCCAAAGCATTGAAACCCCTGCTCTTACCCCTTGTCACTCCCATCTATGCTTCTTCCAGCTCCCACCCACCCACCCCCAACAGCTGGTGCCCTCGAGCGTTTCACCGTCAACTTCACCATCACCAACCTGCCCTACAATTCTGACCTGGAGAATCCAGACTCAGCAAGGTTCAAGTCTGCACAGCGTGTTATGAACATGTTGGTGAGTGGACCATCACTGGGACATTGCTTTGCCCCCATTCTCCTCACAACCTTTGGGGAATTGCCAGGAGCTGTTCAGGGCTTAACTGTGAAAACCTCTCTGCTTGGCAGCTCGACCGCCTCCTGAAGGACACCAGCATTGGCCCCGATTTCCAGAGATGTGAAACAACAGCCTTCAGGTACAGGTTGTGTTAGAGTATTCCTGGGCATGTCCACCAGTGATGGGAAAATTCATAAGGTTCATGTTATGCTCACACCTAGTCCACAGAGGCCGGACCTTGTCCATGATCTCCTCCTCCTTAGGGACCTTCCACCCGATTCCCTTGAGCTTCAGGGCTGCCACTCACTGCTTTCCCTCCTATTTTGGAGGGGTGACGGCAGAACCCCAAGATGACTGTAAAGTCGTGCCTGCCCCTGTGCTGTCCTGAAGAGCCCCATGGTGTTTGTGGACATGGAGAGCAGCGGCGGGTCCCGACACATGCATGGTTTGGGAAGGCAGAGCTGGCCTTCAGTGCCCAGTGCTCAGTGTTGTCCCTGTGCTTTGCA